ATAAGGGCATAGAAAAATATGTGATTTTCTTTACGCGGAACGCATGCACCTTGCGGACTGAAATTACTAAGCGCTAATGAACGAATGATTAGGCTCCAAATTATTCGGCAACTGGAAAACTTTTTTAAAACCTAATTTTACTCCTTCCTTAAGCATAAAATATAAAGAAGACGTGATTCTCTTTTGAGTGATTAAAAGAAAGCATATTTTTGTTTATGGTTTCTATAAAATATGTTAGAATTTGCAAGACCATCGAAAATCAATCGGTAAAATGCATGCTACTTAAGTAGTCATTTTTTACTGAGTACGCTTTCTACAGGAGATTGAAAAGAAGTTCATTTAAAAGCCGACATCCTGCCAAGTCCGAAATGTTATAAGAGTATGCCGTAAAATAGTCAGTATTACAACCGCGACCAAGTAATCCTTCCTAATCGAAAACGTATTTCAGAATTTCAGCCAACATTTCGTGAGATAGGTCACTCACTGTATATCAGGTGAAATATCAGTAAATTTTGGCGAAAATAGACGCTGGAATAAATTTGTGCAATTTCCTATGATAATACAGGTCCTAGACTCCAGTTACGCATCTGAGCGACTTTTTAATTGAAATGATAATAATTTACTCGCAGGTGATTTAATAAACAGATTTAACCAGACTGGAAATTTTATTTCATGTCCGACGTTGGCCACGGCTATCAATCTCTTAACAAAAAGGTTATTTTAAGAAAACCAGATGTTTTCTCCATTCCTTTATGTAAAATTAGCAGATCTGTGCGAACTGGTGCCCTAAAGTGCAATAATAACGTAGGTATATATTCTTTCGTTTAAGTGGGCTGACATTATTTTGCCATTCGGAAAATTTCACCTGATGTCATATAGATGACCACAAAGGCATGGTCATTTCCAGATTTGAACATATGACACACGACTTTTCTAATATTTTAGCTTCTGTGCATACTTTTTTCAGAAACAGAACGAGCAAAACATTAATAGTTTTAGCAAAATATCAGTATTTGTATGGGCGCTCTGCCGTGCATTCATAATCGAAGAAGAGAGCCTAAAAGCAAGCAAAAACAGTGGAAATGGCCTCAGTGCATAGAGGAAGGCATGGTCTGCGTTTATGGTAGAAATAAATTAGTATTTCTCAGGAACGTGAAAGAAACCGTCAAAAGTGTGAATTTTTTACTTGGCCTCGCCGTGCAAAAATGCAAAATACACAGAGATCCGTCGACGAAGAGCAATAAGAGGTAAATTATTAAGGAAAGTTTTCTTATTGGTCCGAGGTATATTTGTTAGTGACTTTCGTTGTGGACAGTAATTTTTCTCGAAAATAAAGTTTTATGTTTGAATGAATCTTCAAATGTGACCCAAACGACCATCTTCGTGAAAAGGAGCGTCTGAACACTCAGAAATTCGGTAAATGCCTTCAAGAATAATATTATGTTAAAGTTCTCAACAGACAGGTAATTCAGAGTCTGCCTTTATAGGCGATCGTGTGAAAACACTGAAAATCATGAAGTATTCAGTAACATTTCGAGGCCAATTTGAAACTCAACGTGATCCAAAACGAAAGAAGAGTATAAATTAATTTAACGGGAGAGAAGTTCTTTCAATAAACACAAAATGGTATGTTTACGAGCACGTCTGTCAGTCTTATGTAAACTAATTAGGTACCGACCAGCCTTATGGCATGTCACCTTATGAAAACGTTTGATTCTACGACGGTTCTGTTGGCAAAATCTAGCAAAATCTAGCTTTTCTTGTTGAACCCCATCTCATTCAACTCCAACTCACTAGTTAAATTATGAAACCCTGGGAAACTGTTTTGGAATCTACACTCAGAATGTAGGCAGTTGACAAACCGTCGTATATGAATTCACACTACTTATTAAACGATATTTAGATGTAAACTTCACTGAAATGCTTTATCAGACGTGATTTTATGTTTGCTTTCATATTTACTACGTGTTTGATATGGGAATACATTCTCTACATCTAACAACGTCCCGTGTAAGAAATTGACTGGATACACCGAATGTGAAACATGCACCAGAAACAAAAATGCCAATTGTCAGCAGAAATTCGCAAAACGACGAAAAATTCACGACGATTATTTGAATATGCTTGCATATAAAATCCGCGATAGAGTGAAGCCGCGAAATTTGGAGTGTGGCGTAGGGAGGGATTAGTGCATACAGCAAGTTAAATTTACTCTGAAAATTAATGCAAAAACAGCAGCATCCTAGATGAGTAAACACAGCCGAATTAATGAAAAGAGGTAACTTAAAATGGTCCTGATTTTCCGAGTCATCTCAATTTTTTTACACGAAATCCTGTTTTTATGTCTGTTTTAAATTCATACCGAAGATGGACTTATCGTAGTAGTTCTTCAATCCATCTATGAAGTAAATTTACGCTCTGTTATTTCTGCTCATATAGAACTAATGAGACAGAAGTCTAATCATAAGTTGCCTGCTCCATTTGGGCTTGCCGACCAAAGTGCAAACATGCACTCCGTGAATATTCGAACGTGCTTACGAAGTCGTCGTCTTTGGTCTTTCTCGCATTTTTCGAAATAGCGCAGGAAGGCCGCAAGTTAAAATATTGCTGGTATGCCAATCATATTTCAAATAATCCCTAGAGACGAGTCTATTCAGAGTAACCAGTTGTAAAAAAGTACGTCTATTAGAGTGATTATCTAGAAAACCAAACTACTAGGGTTACAAAAATAGCGGTAA